AGAAAAGACATTTCTAATGAACTTGAAGGGCTCTGTAGTTCAAGAAATACACTGCTCTTTTCTAAAGCTTGGAATAATACCTCGAATAAGTGACTCCAAAACATAAGAACATTGCAAACATATATTTCATATTTCTTCATCAAAAAGGAAGTGCGCGTTATACGGCAAATGTACCTAAAACTTTAAAAAATGCAGCTTGAAAGTATAGGTGTTCGTTATACGCTGGGTTTTACGGTATACCCAATATTCCTTCGTATAAGTCTAATGAGATGTTGATTACCGTAAAATCCGGCGTATAACGCGCACTTTTAACATAAAAAATTAGATCGAAATTTACGGGGGCGTGCTATATACGCCGGGTTTAAAATAGGGAAAGCTTTGAAAGTAAAGCAAAAGATAAATGAGTATAAAAAATAGACTTTTACATAGATCTGGATACTCTTTAATCAAAAGAAATGACATATCGAATGAACTTAAAGGGTTGAAGTTCTGGAAGTATATTATTTTTCAAAAGTCTGGAGTAATACCTTGAATAAATGACTTCAAGACCATTGCATGCGCAAATTTTAGGTTACTTTGTAAAAAAGTTGATGCGGTAAAACGGCGAATATACTTAAAATTTTTTTAAAAAAAGCAACAAAAGAAATACAGGTGCGCGTTATACGCCGGATTTTACGGTAAATTGAAAAAAGTCAAAACAACTAAGAAAGAGAGGAGAAAAAGGTACTCGAAAACTCTCCTTCAGTTTATTTTCATTCCTGGTATCGTTAATATGCAATCATCGCAAATTATCATTTTTACCGTCATTATTTTAAAAAATGGATCTCCACTTTTTAACAAATTGGAATGCTAATTAAAATCCTTGATTACTTCAGCCGCTATCCCTATTAATAAGAATTAATAAACGTTTCATTATATCATTTGCATTTTTTTCGCCCTAAATCCATTTATTAGAGGAATCTATTAAAATAACTGGCTTGTGCACCCTATGCAGTGGACCACCCTGGGTTTCGCGCTGACGTGTCGTGTCAAGCGAAAATTACTAATTAGCATGGGAAATTTAAATAGAAACATCACTCAAAATTCGAACCCCCGATTCTGTGAGTCGAAAATGCAAATGTAGTTGACAGGGGGAGCCTAATAGCTACTCATCCATCAACACTCAGACAATATTTTAAACTCATCAACACGCCCAGCGAATTTGTTGATATCTCAACTGAATTTTGAAAACACTCACTGGGTTTTTTGTGAAAAAGAATTTTTTTAAAAAAGAAAACAATCTATTTACCCGTTTTCTTCTTGGGGGTGGGGGAGGGGAAGAAAAATTCTTTAAACTGAAACTAAAAAAAATGGAGCATGGAATGGTGAGACTAATTTCATAAGCGAGGTCACTGTCATCGGCTATGTCCCGGGGCTTGTTGCCATTAATGATCAGCGCGGTTCATTTTGTAATTCATTAATCACACTTCTTTCGAACAACCGGGCTAAAGGTCATCCCCAAATAACATCTTAGAGATTAAAGAATTCTCTTAACAACGACAAAGAAATATTGACTACAATTTGTCATGAAGCCCATTTGGGGTTGAGAATATTTTTGCTGCCCTTCTTCAGGTGATAGGCATCACGTCTTTGGGGAAACAGATCACATTCACTGGGGTTAAGCAGTCCAAGCGTCTAGTCAGGTAATGCTTTTTGGCACGTAAAATTAGAAAGCACTTACGTCATAACATTTGACGTTTCGGATCCGTCAAGTGGAGATCTTATCGGACTGTTGCATGATCCTTTGCTGTAGAGCTAAAGAGTTGATGATTCTATGATGGACACGCCGTGTCTTTGCAGGGTATTGTTAGCCATTTGCTTCGGCGTGCCGTGGTGTTAAAGGGGAGTATGGGTGTCAACACTTTTCTTTTTTCGCCTAGAAATAATGCCCAGATTGAAAATGGTTACCTTTTATGTCTCGTTATTCGGACGTGATATCATCAATACTGGATTACATTCATTGAGAAGATTTCCATGATTGGAATACATTTGTGTGTTATTAGTGTGACTCGTTTATTTAATTATATATTTTTTACTCTTCATAAAAACAGCTTTTCTCTTAATCGTAAATATAGTACAACATTTTAATATAGGTATATATGTATTTCATTTAATAATCACGAAGTTTGGTTCCAGATTTTTTTTTTGTAACTAATATTTATTTTCGAAACAATCATTTTAATTTGTGAAAAATGGCAATTTCAATTGTTTCAATTTTTATTCTACTAGAATGCTTGGAAAACAGAATTTTTTATTTGTGTGTCAATTAATACAAATGACATAAAAAACGATAGCTTGGTAAATTTATAATACTAATAATCTTACTGCATATATTTATAAATTTATTACAAAAATAAAGTTTTCATTTGTAAATTACATTCAATTACTAGGTAAAATTTCAGCAAAAATATAAACAAATGATAAATACTGTGTTCTGAAAGCAAAGCTGCATTATGCTATATTTCTTATTTTCTTATTCCATAAGATGTTTTAGGTGATTTTTAGAAATAAAATTTCAAATGTTTTCTTTATTTACCATTAAAGATTTAACAGTATTTGTTTCGTAATAAAATCTATTTAAAACTGAATGGGCATTTCTTAAGCATGAATGTAAAATTGTTCTTAATTACGTCTTTAAGACTTCAGAGTTGTATAAACAAGGATATGTCTTTAAAATGAGTGAAATATGTTTTATTTTAGAATCATGTGCTGCTTTAAATATCGATTATTTTGTTTAAGGTTTCGCAGGATGTTACAAAATTTATATATATCGTTTATTCCGGTGCACTTTAAACACAAAAAATAACATCGAAATTTACAGGTACGCGTTATGAGACGGATATAAAAATGATAGCTTTAAAAATAACGAGAAGATTAGCATTAAAAAATTAGATTCGATTTATGGACTTTAATTATTGGATAAGATGAGCAGTTCGTCATATGTGCCTTCCGTTATATTTTCAAGCACATCATCGAATTCTGTTTCTTTTTCATCGTCGCTGTAAGTGTCTGAATCATCTTCATTTTCATCTAGATTGTTAGATTTTTAAATGACTTTTGAATTATGTCAGATTTAATTTCTCATTCTATTCTTTTATTATCCACACACACATTCTAGACTGGCATGACGCATTTGGCCTCCTTTTGTAAATGTTTTTTCACCGTCTGACAACCAGATCCTTCTAACACCTCTTTTCTTGCGCTTTAGACTTTTAGTCCTAGAAGTATACCATTGTTCAAAAGCCTGGTATAATACTTTGAATAAATGACTTCAAAAGATGAGAGGATTTCACATTTGTATTTCAGGTTCCTTCGTAAAAAAAAAGGGGGGGGTGCATTATATATACGGCAAATACGTCTAAAAATTAAAAAATGCAGTTTGAAAGTATAGATGCGCTTAATACATCATAATATACGGTATTTACTCTGAAAACATGCCAATATTTAATTCAGAATTTATACAAAAGAAATATAATGAATAAAAATAATAAAAATTTCAAATGTTTCTCTTTTTCCAATATTGAATTTGAAACAATCCAAAAAATAGCAACTGCGATATAAAAAATGGACATTTAAGACAATAATATAGTTTTGAACAGATATGGCTTGAAAAATTTATTTCTGTTTATGAGTCACTAACAGATCTTCTATTATTTATTGCCAGAAATTACATGCAGTTTCCGAAAATCATTCCTAATTATCACGTCAAAAACTGTCTTTCACCACTTTATTAATATTTAATAATCAATAACGAGGAATTATACGCATAATTTCCGGAACCGGCTATTAATCAATACGTCCAAAACTGCTGTAAAACATTTTATTAAAATGCGTGCATGTTTCTTTTTAAACCAGAACCAAGTTTCAGCAATTTTACAAGATTCTAAGAACGTGAGTCATACTAATAAGTTGTACTGACTATTCAAGCCATTTATAATGCCTTTCCTTTTTCTTCATTTTGCAAAATTCTCGCGCCTTTCTAAAACAATTTTCCGGACTGGTTAGATGTAACCGCCCATTCGCAGGAAACAAATAATTAATAATATTATTCATTAAGTGCCAGTTTATGGAGTCATGTTCAGGGCTATCATTCGACACGATCTTGTTCGCAAGCATACATTGACAATCTACGGAGTACAATAAGTCATTCATTAACAAGCTTTGTGACATGGATAGACGCAAATCTGAGGTTATGTACGGTCGTTTTTTCCTTGTAAATCGCACTTTTCTGCACCAAGCCCTACAATTTTCAAACGTCCGGATGTTGATTAATGGCCCTTTATGATGCTTGTGTGTGACGATGGTTTTTTCATAAGTTGTAGAACACTTAAAATTTAATGGCGATGTAATTAATGCAGCGATGCTACATCCCATGCCTTTGGCTGCTTCCAATAACTTTAAGCGAAAGTGAAATAAGTGGCAACCACGGATTCACGCAGGTTTGTCTGGTGGTAAAACAATCAAAATGTATGAAAAGGTGGTTTTGGTGATAGTAATAATACCTTTTGACTCTAAATCATTCTTTGTAGATGTCTGTAATCACTTTATTCAATTCCTACTATTAGTTCACACTCTCAATATTTATATACATATATATATATATATCTTGTTCAAATTTTAACTTGTAGTGGATGACTCTTGATGATAATACAGTTCTTTCAAATATTAATTCATTTCTTGAATTCATTAATGAATAAATAGTAACAGACAAAAATAATAGTCTAGCTCTATATATAAAAAGGAAAATCGCTTGTGTGTCCCTGTAGCACAATGAATAGCGCGTTGGAATTCTAATCTGAAAGTCGGGAATTCAAATCCCACCTGGGATGACCTAATTTCTGAGAATGTGATTTTTTTACTATACTATTTTATTGGAATAATTAAATTTAAGAAGTGAATAAACAGTAGCAAGCAAAAATAATAGTCCAGCACCATATATAAAAATGAATATCTTTTGTTGTGTCCCTGTAGCACAATGAATAGTGAGTTGGATTTCTAATCCGAAAGTCGTGAATTCAAATTCCACCTGGGATGGCCTAATTTCTGAGAATGTGATTTTTTACTATACTATTTTATTGGAATAATTATATTTAAGAAATGAATAAATAGTAACAAACATAAATGTAATAGTACAACACCCCACATAGAAAAGAAAATTAAAAATCGCAAGTAAATCGCTCTCTATTTTGCCACTTAATATTGAGATTCTGTCATATGTATATACCTATTTATATTAAGTGTAATTATTTAATAAAAAGTAACTACTAAATTTTTTTTCTGTGTTGATCTAAGTAAGAATTGACTTACATTTTTTTTAATATTACTTGTTTCCAAGTTTCTTTTTTCTTCAGTTGAGTTTTCTCTGTTATTCAGATGCTTTATAGTAGAGCATTTTTAGTTTGACAAAGTTTACCTCTAACGATAGTTCTTCAAGCTTGAATTCTAAATGTGAATCTATTTCATTCTATACAATCAGAATGAAAAATTCTAATAAATTCAAGAGTATATTACAATTTTGATAAGAAATTCCAGGGTTTGAATAGGCTTAAGCCTTTTCAATACTTGAATACTATGCAATATTTATTTTTGCCTTAAGATTTGTTTTTGAAACATAAAGAAAATATAAAGCGTTTTGTAAATTGTTTTTGTTGAATTATTGTGGGAGCCTCTCAACCTTAAATAAAGAATAATTGTAAATAGAAAAAATATCTTTAATAGCCTGGGAACTTTAAATAACTGTTTTATTGATTAGGTACATATGTATCTCCTTAGAATATACAAGCTGTTTTTAAAGACTATGTTTGCTGAATAAGTAATTATACTTAAAAATACACTGTAATTATTATTATTATTCATTATTATTTTTTTAGCATATAAGTTCGGCTTACAGGACATTTTTTTCCAGAAGCATCCATTATGTAAAGACTACCTAAAATAAATTAAAAAACCAGTCAAATGCTTAGCTTTTAAAAAACGCCTTTCAATCCCAATCGGTTGCACATTTTTTCCCCCCAAAAAATTATGTAAGAGTTAAGTTATTTGAGAATTTAAAAAAAAGACAACCAAGTGCTTGCAGAAAGTTTTTTACGTATGCCATTGTTGAACAGTTTTCTACTATCAGAGATATTGGATGTAGGCAATGATTTAAGAACAATGTGGAAATGGCTCAGATATTTACATT